ACATGACTTAGCCTGAGAGTTGTGGCTGTGGGGCCTTCATGAAACGGAGATGAGTAGGTGACAGAAGATGAGATGACCATTCAGAATGGTTAGATTTAGGGCTGAGAGGGCACTGCTTAGCCCGAGTGATGTGCAATCAGGATGGGAATCCAGCAACTTTCACCACTGTAGTTTAAGGAGATCAGAATGGGGTCCTTCCACCTTGGTTGTGGTCCTGTGGATTTAAAACATTTGAGACAAATTAGATCTTCTGGGGATCGGAGAATCTGGTTTGGCCCCTTCAGAGGGTTGAGGAAGGCAGAGATCAGCATGTTGTCATAACAAGTGTCGGAGGAAGGAGAGGACTGGGATATAGTCAGCAAGAGGAGGGAGGCTTTGAGGAGGAAGAGGATTGTGGAGTAAGAATGGCCTGCCATACATAAGTTCAAAAGGATTTAAAAATGTCGGGACTCGGGGAAGTGTCCTGAGCTTGGCTAAGGCTAAGGGAAGGAGTTGAGGCCAAGGTTGGTGCATTTCAAAAATGAGCTTTGTTTGTATGAGGCCATTTGCCTTTTCTACTTTTCCTGAGGATTGTGGTTGGTACGGAATGTGTAGGTGCCAGGTGTTGTGTATGCTTGAAGATACCTGTTGAGTTATCTGAGAAATAAAGATGGGATCATTATCTGACTGAATACTCTGACGTAGCCCTACCTTGGGTTGATTTCCTGTAATAGTACTTTAGTAACTACATCAGCGGTCTCCCTGGTTGTGGGAAAGGCTTCTATCCATCCTGAAAATGTACAAACAAAGGCGAGAAGATATTTGAGAGTTTTGTGGTATGGCATATGTGTAACATCTGTCTGTCTGTCCTGACCCGGGGTGTGTCTTTCAAGTTGATGAATAAGGAAGGGGATGCTATATGTCCCTGAGGAGAAGTCTTAGCCCAGAGATAACAGTATTCTTAAGAATGAAAACTGTTAGAGAAGGGTATGTGACTACCGGGGCTAAGAATTTGTATAGGCCTGTGATTGTATATGGAAGCAGTTATGTAAGTCAGTGATGATGTCAAGGCCTGCTGATCTGAGAGAACAAGTTTTGATACCTGGAAATTCCATCCCTCAGTGTTTTGTTTGTAATCTGGTATATGAAGTAACTGTAGCTGCTCTGGTGAATTATTAGGCTGAGTTAGACTGTTTTGAACAAAAGGGAGAAGATGATAAGGATAGGGTCTTTGTACAGCTAACTTGGCCTGTTAATCTGGAAAGGCATTGCCTTGAGAAATGGGATCTGCAGAATTCTGGTGTCCCCTACAATGAATAACTGCTGCCTGTTTTGGGAGTTGTGCTGCCTCTAGAAGTTTAAGGATAAGAGATGCATTAATGACGGGGGTTCCCTGAGAGTTAATAAAACCCTGTTCTTGCCAAATGAGTGTAAAATGCCCAATGTATCCTTGGTACAAAGGTGTGATTTGTAAATGTATACTTTGTATACATTGTATACTTTGGATCAGTGTATATATTTGACTTTATCTTTTGCTATTGTAAGAGCCCTTTTAAGGGCAAAAAGTTCTGCCCTCTGGGAAGAGGTTCTAGGTGGCAATGGATTTGCCTCTATAACTTTTGACTGGTTAACTATTGCATATCCTGTTTTTTTTTTCCCCTGCTGTCTGTGTTTGTTGAACTTTCTATGAACCATGTGTGAAAGGCTAGAGAGAGAGGTGTGCTACTGATGTGAGGGAAAAGGGTGGAAGTCATCTGTAAGACATCAAAGCAGTCATAGTGGGAGTGGCCCTCTGAGGTGGGAAGTAAGGTTGCCACATTAAGTGGGCCACTAGTTGCAATAGAAATGCAAGGGTCTAGCTAGAGACTAGGTGTACCTGTTGAAGGTGAGAAGGGGTCATCCGGGCTGGTAGTGCCTTATGTGAGATGAGCTCATTTAAGTGATGAGGTAACTGTACTATAATAGACTTTTCTACTGTAAACTTTTTAGCTTCTTGTGTCAGTAGGGCTGCAGCCACAAGGGCTCAGAGACAAGGAGCCCATCCTTTTATTGTGTTAGTCTAACTGTTTTGACAAGTAGGCTACGCTTGAAAACAAGGCCCCTTTTTGTGTCCTAGTACACCTACAGTATTGTGACCCTGAGAGGTAGTATATAGAGTAAAAGGTTGGGTGGGGTGAGGAAGGGTAAGGGCTGGAGCTCTTAGGAGAGCCTCTTTTAATTTATGAAAGCAGGCATATATAGGCACAGTGGGGTCTAGGGATTCTGATAAGGTACCCGTCAAGCCCTTGTAGAGGGGTTGAGTGAGGGCTGAAAAGTTAGGAATCCAGAGATTATAGAAATTAGCTAAACCTAGAAAAGATGTAACCTGTTATTTAGTTGTGGGCATCTGAAGATCTTGAAGAATAGCCTTATAATCTGTGATGATAGAACAAGTGGTGGGGGTGAGAGAGAGACCTAGATGTTTAACTTTTGGGGATGTTATCTGGACGTTAGCAAGAGTGACCCTGTATGCATGACTAGCAAGAAAATTAAGTAGATCAGCTGAATGCTGTATGGCTAACATATGGGATGGAGAACATACGAGAAAGTCATCTATGTATTGAAGAAGTGTACTAGGTTTGAGATCAAGTTCTGTGAAGTTAATAGTGAGAGCTTGGCTAAAGATGTGGGAACTATTGTTGAACCCTTGGGGGAGCACTGTTCAAGCATGTTGTTGAGACTTGAGTGTCTGGGTCACTCCATTTAAATGCAAAGAGGTCCTGACACTCATGGTGTAGGGGGCTGTTGAAAAAGGCATCTTTGATCTAGAACCATAAAATGAATGGTGGAGGGATGAATGTGAAAGAGCATGGTATAAGGGTTTGGCACTGCTGGGTTGTTTGGAGTAATAGCACTATTGATTACCTGTACCAGACAATAGGGCCCATCATGTTTGAGTACAGGGAAAATGGGAGTATTATAGGGTGAATGGGTAGGTTTAAGAAAACCATTGTCTAAAAGGTACTTATTTATAGGTTTAAGTCCCTGTAATTGTTTAGGAGCTATGGGATATTGGGCAATACTAGGAAAATTTGAAGGATCCCTGAGACGGATTAAAATAGGCATGGCATGAGTAGCAAGTGTGGAATTGGAGGTATACCAAACTATGGGATAGACCAGATAAGAAGGAAGGGAATGAATGACTTTGCAGAGCACTGTGAGGGTGTTTGGAGGACAAGAGCAGTGGGGAGGGAGAAGTTAAAGGAGAAGTTAAGCTTTTCAAGAAGGTCCCTACCTAAAAGGAGTGTGGGGCATGTTGGAATTTCTAGGAAGCTATGGGTAAAGAAAAGATTCTGCATGGGATAGGCCCAGTCTGCAAAGGCTGTGTAGGCTGGCTGTCAATGCCCACAACAGATATTGAGGACTTAATACTAGGACCTGAAAACTCAGGAAATACACTATGAGTTGCCCCTGTGTCGACAAATACAGGTAGTGTCTTTCCTGGGACCTCCAGTGAGACTCCGGGCTCCAGGAAGGATAACTTAGTGAGTCTGTGGGCCCCAAGCCCTGTCAGTCTTCAGCACCAAGTCTGACCAGATCTGTCAGTGATGAATCTGGCAGTGATGGGGTTTCCTGTGAGGATGAGGAGGTAGCACATGGCTTACTTGCTCTCTGGGGGCTAGGACATTCACTCTTCCAGTGGCCCTTAATGTTGCAGTAGGAACAGGGCCCCAAAGGAATGCCAGAATTGTAGCATTCTCTTGCCCAGTATCCTTCTTTGCTGCATTTGCAGCATGGTCTAGAAGGGGCTTGGGTAACTCCACCTTGTTTTGGCTTTCCTGTTTTTTTTTTTTTTAATTTAATTTGAAGAAAAAAACAGTAAAAGGGTACAAGTATACAGAATTTCAAAAAAAGTAAGAAACCATTTGTTAATAGATTACATACTGTCATCTTAGAAATAGTTGTTCAAGTTACAAAATTAAAGCATACAAAATGGATGCTCAAATAGTGAGACTGCAAACTGTTGTGCTTAGTGATCCAACACAAACTTAGTAATACGGCCATCTATCTTACACACCTAAACACACTTACAGTTGTATCATTTAGAGCACTTTCTTTTCCTCTCTTTTTTACAATAACATTTACACATTTTGGGTTTTATTACTCTCACAGTTCTGATTACTTTTTTTTAGAAGAGAATAAAACCAAATGTGACAAAATAAAGCAGTTAGTCAAAACAAAGGATTGACATAGTACATGATGCAAAAACAGAATACAAGGTAATCAACAATGGTTACCATTAATGCCTCTTGCTACCTTAAAAAGAATTGCCTAAATCATCAGGTTTAATAAAATTGAACACAATAGTACAGAACAAAACCAATAAAATCTTTCTTGGGAGCCCCCAGTGTCACTGCTTAGAGATCAGATTGATATTTAGGAAATATTTTGAGCCTCTTTTCATTGTTTTGAGTTTTATCTCTGTTGTTGAAAATACAGAATGGTAAATTAAGAAGGTCTCCTTTTGGGGTTTGCAGGCCACTTTCAATCTTTTGTAACTTTTTATTAATGCTAGGGGCAGACTGAAAAATAAAATGAGTTAACAACAATCATCCCTTTATGAGAGTCTGGGTTTACATTAGTAAACTTAATTAAGGTGTCCCTAAGATGATTTAGGAAAACAGCTGGGTTTTCATTAGCCTCCTGGAGCTGTTCTAAAGTGTGTTATAGTGAGTATGTTTGTGAGTGATTTCATTAAAGCCCACAATTAAATATTCAACCATATTATGCATTTTTTTGAACCTTCTCCATTTTGGTAACTCCAGTTAGAATCTTGTTCTGGCACCAAGGTAGGTCCAGGATCATTTTCAGTTGTGTTTGCCTTACATCTGCAATCCTCTTCTTCTCAAGCTGTTTGCCACAGCAGAGCTTACTCTTGTGAGCTGAGGGTGGAGTTCAGAATCACATAAATATCCTTAAGATGTAATCATAACAATTATTTATTAATTCAAGTTCTTTCATATAATTTTGTGGGTCAACAGAGATGCAACCTATTTTATAGTTAATCTGAGATTACTTGGACCATGAGGCACATCCCAAGATGCAGGCACCCCACCACATTGTGAAGGGCCAAAAGATGACAACTGTCCTCTACACAAGCTGTAGCAACCATGTGGCCAACCAGAAGGCTGGAATGCCCGAGACCTAGTATGGTGAGTGGATGGAGAAAATGTCAATGCAGGAGAGGGAAACAAAGAATCTTCAGACAAGACAGATAGCTCCAGCAGAGGGGAGTGAGAGGTTAGAGACTGGGGAGAAACACTAATTCAGGGGTTAAAAATGCTGGGGGAATGTTCCGAGGTTTTAAGAGTAGCGTTAGGGACCCTGGAAGGGAGGGATAGATGACTGCACAGAGGGTGATAATTGCAGAGCAGGAGCAGAAATCTTTGAGAAGGCTGCGAGGTTTGATCTTGGGGATAGGAAGGAAGGGGTGGGTGAAAAACCAGAGGGACCTCATCTGGGGGTCTTTGGGACAAAAGGAAATGTTTGTGGTGCAGTACAGGTAGCTAAAAAGATTTGAGCAGGTGTACATGATTTAATGAAATAAGAGCACATTCTTAGAGCAAGGAAAGCCAGTACATACGAAATTTCTGCTAACTTGTTGCTAGTGTAACAAAAGTCATATAAATTTCTGAGAATACAGGGGTCAAAGGTCCCCTCTTTATGCCATGGCTGCTGTTATGTTGGTAGGTTGGCCAAGCCTCCTGGCAGTAAAAGGTTAATTGTTTAGTTTTTGTGGTTTTCTTTAAGGCGAGAATACCCAGATTACAGACCAGGCACCATAAAGTTGTGTTTTTTGGGGGAGAGGAAATAATATTTCCCATGATGGAATCACAGTAAAGTGAGCCAATGGACAGTGACCTAAAGCAGACCAGTTTGTCACTTGGCCTTTTAGATCAACAGTAACTCTCCCAACTCGTGTCTTTGCAGTCATCACTAAAAGCACGAGTGTTATCCTAGTGGATTACAGTAACGGCTCTACCTTGGGGCTGCCCAAGGGAAGTGAGAACTGCTTCCCTAGTCCAGGGAGGGAAGGAAGATCCAGCGTGGGGCCTGGATCTTCAATGATCCAACAAAAACTTTGTAATATGGCCATCTATCTTACACATCTAAACACACTTACTCCACCCGTGGAGTAATCCTTGGACAGAATTGGCTCACTTGTGGTAAATCAATTAGACCATTGTTGTTTGCAAACCAGCAGTAGAAAGTTGAGCAGCTTCCATTTGTTGAGAAATTAGGAATTAATTCAGGATGGGGTCCAGTCAGTCTGTAAATTGGCAGGGGACTCAAACTGGGAAGACCCGAGGAGTCACTCACACATTGTTCCCGGTCAGGGAACCAACTGATAGAAGTTTCAGCATGGCTAAAAAGAAAGAAATGTGAAATAAAAGTGGCCTTTATTCTAAGAATGCCAAGAGAAAACCGCATGACCATGGAGGTCTGGCTTTTTTCTCTGTTGGACACATGGTGTGGTGGCCTACATATAGCTTTGGTCTGGGGTGGTGCCTAAGGGGCATTACTGATGCCAAAGTAGCCCATTGGAATTCAATTTGTGCCACAGGTAAATTGCCTAGTGGAAGGGAAAGTGGCCTCAAAGCAGAGCCCCTTGGTTCTGCCTCTCAGTCTCCTGCTTCAACAACATCTAGGGCAAAATCCTTTCAGCGAGCAGTTACCTTTCTATAACTCCATTTTCATTTCATTTCAAGCATTTCATATATATTCTTTCCCACATTATCTTCCTTTACACCCTAGTAGAGTTTCTAGTATTCAAGTACAAGGAGATAGTTTGGTATTCCTGAGCTTTAGGGTTATAGCTCCCCTTTCCCTAATTTTCTTGTCTATAGAATGATCAAATAAACCTTCATTTTCATTATATTTTAGTAATTCCTAAACCTGCATTCATATTCAACTAAATATTTATCTGTGAAACCAGTTTCTTTTTAAAAAAATTTTTAAAATTTAAATAGGGTAAATTAAACAGAACAAAACAGATCATAAGAACAGAATTTAAGACACACAGAGTTGAAAGCAAGATCACCGGAGATCTTAACACTATCTATCATAATGCCTCTTGTTTTCTTCCAAGTAGTTCTCCATATCTTACACACAGTGAATACATACTGAACAATATAGTACTAAGCTTATCAGAACAGGGTGATGAAGGCATGTTAGGTCTTCAAGACCAAACAATAGGGAAGTCAGCAATGGCTGCAATAATGTCTCTCAATCTCTTCAAAATAGCTGTCCATATCTTTACATATGTTCAAATTAAATAAAAGAAAACAGACTAATATCACTCTGAACAGAGAATAATAGTATTGCTAGATTTTATATCATAATGCTGCAAAATTAGCACTGGCTATTTCAGTGTCTCTTCTTCTGAGTATCTGTTCATTACATTGTGCATTATACAACCTATTCTTGGAATCTGGTTAGAAGTTCTACACATGCACGAACCTCTACATGTATACCTCTCTTTTCTGTATTATAGGGAAAAACATCAAAAGAAGACAACAAAATAAATTCCTAGAAAAACATGAAATGAAAAAGACATATAAAACCACAATAATAGGTGATCTATAGTAGTTGTTATGATGTGTCTTGTTGTTTTCAATAGAATTGTCTATATTATCAAACATAATATAACATAGCACTAGCTAGCAATATTAATGAAAACACACCATTGGAGACATTGGAGGGCTTCAAATACAGTTAATAATAAAACTAGAATGGGTATCCCATTGCATCTCATCATCTTCAGTGTAGTTGCCTCTACTGTGCAAACTATCAAGCGTACAAAATTCGACTAAAATCAGTGAAGACAAAACAGCAATCTAACAAGGCAGATTCAAATAAGATCCTTCACAGGAAGACAATGTAAATAATATCAGGCTTCAGTTTAAGTTAGTAGGAAATTAAGGATAGTGAGCACTGTATATCCTGCTGTATATATAGGACAGCTGCGGTGCACTTAAATCTAGTATAAGTAGACAGACTGGAGCAGAATAAAAAATCCTGATATACTATTAATAGTGTCTGCTGCCTTTTTTTTTTTTTTAAAGGCAGTTCCTCCCCTTTCCCTTTCTCAGGTTGCTTTATACATTTTGGGTGCCACTAGCTCCTCTAGTTTTTAGATTAGGTGGGCAATCCATTATCTTACTAAGTTGTGCTGAACCTTTTTACCTCTGAGCTTGATCTTGAGCTGTATTCCTTTATGTACTAAAGATTCAAGGTTTTCTTTCCTTGTATCTGAGTAGTTCTGCACTGCACAAAAGTGTCATGACTTCCCAACCTATCTTCAGCTGCTGGATAAGCTGTACCTGTTTGTCTCTGTTCTCTGTCACATAGAGCATGGTTTTCTCATCTTTGACTTTCAGTTTATTAACCCTCTTTCAGGTTATGTATATTTCCTATTCAGAGCATCTCGATGGACCCTATCTCCTGATCTATTCTGTGTTTCTTTTTGTTATTGTATGAAGGCCATCTATGTTAGAGATCATAGCCAACCTTCTCGTCCTCATCTCTGCTATGCTATTTTTCTGCTATTGATTGTGTACTTTTCTCCTTCATTCCACTGTCTGTCCCATTCGTTGAGGTCTCTGCCACTGTTGCTGGAATCCTGGTAATTTTTTCTCTCTTTCTGGAATATCCTTCAGTATTTTTTGTATTGCTTAATTGGTGGTCACAAACTCCCACAGTTCCTGTTTGTCATAAAAACATTAATCTTGTTTCTCCATTAGTTTTGAGAGAGAGAGTTTTGCAGGGTACATCAGTCTGGGCTGGAGGTTATTTTCTTTCAGGGCTTGGAATACTTTTCTTGAAGCTCTTCTTGATTTGATCATTTGTGTCAAGAAATCTGTCATGATTTTGATGAGTTTTATTTGTAAATAATCTGTTTCTTTGACTGCTTTTAATATTCTGTTCTTGTGATGAATTTCTGGGATCTTGATTATTATGTTTGGGTGTAGATCTCTTTTGATTGTTGCTGGCTGGAGTTCTGTATACCTCATTAATCTGGATATCATTTCTTTTTCATATGATTGGGAAGTTTTCCTTTATTATTTCTGTGAATAGCTTTTGTAATTCATTTGTGTTGACTCCTGCTTCTTCACTCACGTTTTTTATTCTTAAGTTACAGATCCTTTTGTCATCTTCTAGCCTTTGTATTGTTACTTCTTGGTTCCTTGTTAATTTTTAAGAGATCTATTCTTTCATGATCACACATTGCAAATCTATCTTCAAGTTTTGAAAGTCTCATTTTAGTTTCTGTCAAGGAATTTTGGCAGCTTTCAGTGGAAGTTTTAATTTCCTGGTGATCTCTTTGGATCTGTTTCACGTATTCTAGTTTTTAAAAATATTCTTCATGAAAGGTTTCTCTTCTTTTTCTGATTTCCTGCATTCTTCCATCTGTGTCTTCTTGAGAGTTGTTAAACATTTCTTTTATTATTCTTTTTATATCTTACCTCACTTGAATTAGAATTTCAGTTTTAATATCATCTATGAGGTCACAAAAGTATTTCTTTATTTCCTCTTATGCTCTGGCTGATATTGTATGATTGCTGCCCTCAATTTCTATTTACCTCTCTTGGACTTATCTTCCCTGGCTCAGTGGTTTGAGGCTTTTTCTTGTTTGTTTCTCTTGTTATGTTTTTTTTTTTCTCTCAGCCAGGTGAATGGTAGAGAGCTCAGGCCCTTTCCGTATTGCTTATTGTTTTTCTGAAGCATGCTGACTAGGGGATTACTGCCCTCTCCAATTTGCTGTTGATGTGTGACTTGCACACAGGGACAAAGTGGGCTGGCCTCTCTCCTTTGAACCAGTCAACTGGCAAGGGCCTGCAGCATGTTAGTCTGTGTCATGCGGATGTCACAGGTTCAGGACAGGTTCATCCCTGGACATTGGGTCCTCAATGGGGATGTGACCCAGCCCAAGCAGATCCCACCAGTTTCTTTGGGTCCAGGGTGGCTGACTGACACCATTGTGGTTCTGGGTTCAGGCCCATCCTGCCCAACTCCAATATGTCATCCAGCTCATCACATACTCCTTGGGACCCAATTCCTAGCACTGCCCACAAATGTTGGTTCTGCTCTCCATTGTACTGCATCCGCCTGCCTAGGGCCTTGGGCTCACCAACCCCCAATATTGGAGGCCACTAATTCATCATGACCATAAGTCATCTGATACCAAGGAACGCCCAGCACAGTGCAGGATTGGCCCCAATAAGAGCATCTGGTTCCAGCCTTTCATCCATGTTGTTCCTTCCCTTGTTCCTTTTTCTTTTTCCTCAGTTTCTTCCTGGGTCATGAGAATCCCTCTACTTTCATCTTGTCTTCTCCCTGGTGTTAAATTCTAGCATCTGAGTTGTTTCTCTCAGAAAGGCTCTCTACCCTGCTACTTATCAAGCTGACATCTTCAGCAAGACTATAAATTCTGTCTAGAAAGAGAAATGAACTCATTGCTATGAATAACCAGGTGTTTTGAGAATGGTGGTTTACAGGTGCCTCTTTGAGCTCTGCTTTAAAGTCAGTGAAAAACTACAGTTCTAGGTGCCCTGCAAGACAAGCCATGCCACAGTTTTATGATTACTTTGGAAATGTGTTGCAGTCTAGCATCATTGTTACTGAGTGGCTAAATTTGAATGTACTTGAGTTTTGATGACCATGATATGCAGTTAAGACTTGAAAGAATGACCTTTAGTTAGACATTTTATTTGGGGACCTGAGAAAATTTGTTGTGTTTCTAACCTTCAGGGTACTTGTCATTATTTAGGAGACAGTGACCTTTGAAGATGTAACTGTGAAGTTCACTCCAGAGGAGTGGGATTTACTGACTCCATTCCAGAAGAAGCTCTACAGAGGTGTGATGTGGGAAACATATATGAATGTTACTGTGACACGTAAGGATGATATATTTTATTTATATATGCAAACAGCATTGATTATTACTCAGTGATATAGTGTAATATATTTGATAATTATAATATTGCCTTACATATCTCAGGCCTGAGTATATTATACTATGAGTATAACTGGAACCAGTGATGCTTTAATGTAGTGTTATAGTGAATTTTTTTTATTTCTATGTCTATAATACAGGAAGAATATGGCATAATCTGCAAATTAAAGAAGAGGACAAAAATTGTTCAAGAAATCTAAGGTGATTGACAATCAAAAGAGAAAGGGAACATTTCTTAAGTGTCATGTTTTGAGTATAAATATTGCAACAAAGGAACTTGAAGAAATGAGATCATATTCCACTTTATTTAACCTCAAAGAAATAGCAAGAGAAATACTTGATTTTATTTTGTATTATCTGGAAATCTGTAGAAAAAGATTTGAATGTAGGAATCAGAGGTAGTGCTGATACTATTTAACAAATAACACTATCTAATACATCAGTTTAAAAATTGCTTTCATGATCAACATCTTGGTAATGTATGAGATTAAATTTACATATTGTAATCCGACATCTAGAAAATGAAACAAATTGTGAATTTTCATAGAAACTCTTCAAAATATCATTTGTATATATGTGAATACTGAGACTTTCATGATCTAAAAATTTTTTCACATAGAATCAGTACTTAAAATGGAAATGAATGGTACAGTTTATAATAAGTACTTTGAAAATATCCTATAGAATGTTGATCTTTTCATGTTTAAATTTCTTCATACATTGTTGATGGATACATAAAATAGAAACATGGTAAAAATACTCAGAGATCTGAAAAGTAAAATGATATGTTTCATATTTTTTCACATGTACATCCATCGGCATTCACTTTTGTTTTTTACTTTTGTGCCATGATTTTATACTGTAGTTCAGATTGACTTTGAACTTACTGTGTAGTCCATACTGGCCTGAAACTCAGAGGTATCCTTCTGCCTCTACCTCCTGACTGTTGATTGAGTTGTACTGTTTCATTATGTGCAATGATTCTGTCACTATATTGTGAAATACAGTAAGATCATCAAATGTTAATGATCCACGCAATGTGTTGTTCAGTGCAACACATGAAGTCATTTACAACATCTAATACAAGAATCAACTCAAGTACCTAAGCTATGGGAATAGCCCAGATGCCCATCACGGGTTGCCAAGGTAAAGAAAATGTGGAGTCAGCTCATCATGGTGGTGCATCCCTGTGATCCCACTACTCTGGGAGGCTGAATAAGCTGGATGACAATCTGATGCTCAGCCTGAGCAAGTTCATGGTCAATAAGAATCTCTTTCAAAAACAAATAATAGGTCAGCAAATTTAATTCAGTCCAATACCTGTGTTTAACTCTACACTGAAAAAAAAAAAAAAAAAAAAAAAAAAGCCAAGCAAGGAACTGTGACATGTTTTCACAAGAAACAGAAAGGGTTGAACCTTAAGTGAAATAAATCAGACTCAGAAATGGAAATATTACAGGTTTCTCCTTAAATGGGAAGGTAACAGCATATTTGAGGTGTAAAAGTTAAGAGAGATAATATGAGACCAGAAACCTTTACTTTCTGTAGATGAGAAAGATAATCAGGCTAAATAGATGATGGGGAGAATGAAGACATGAGGAGCTAAAAGAATGATCAATATTTGATAGTCATTTGTGCCAATCCTAAAGTGGTATTATATATTAGAACCATATACCGATTTAAAATTCTGAAATGAAAATCAACATTTTTAGAATGAATAGTACTTTGAAAGAAGTACTGCAGGGCAGTGAGTCTGTTAACTATCAGAATTACTTAGCAGGCATCAAACCAAATTAGCCATCATAAACCTCAGTTGTTAATGAGGAGCTCTTTCCATTGTGATTGATATCTTTTTATTTCTTTACAGATATGATGGAGACAATTATTTGAGAATTGAGGAGCAGCAATATAAATATAACGAAGATGTAGAGACCTGCAGTGATTTCCAGTCCTTTCAGAAGCAATGTGAGAAAGCATTCAGCACACTCAGTAGCTGTCAAAGACATAAAAACATTCACACTGGGGAGAAGCCCTGTGTATACAACAAATGTGGGAAAGCATTCACCACAGCCTCTAAATGTAAAGCACTCGATAGAACTCACACTGGGGAGAAACACTTTAGATGTAGGCAGTGTGGGAAATCTTTCAATCGAAAGGATAACCTTATTAATCATGAAAGAGTTCACACAGGTGAGAAACCTTATGTATGCAACAAATGTGGGAAAGCATTCAGTAGAGCCTCTGGCTATAAGACACATGAAAGAATTCACACTGGGGAGAAACCCTTTGTTTGTAAGCAGTGTGGGAGATCTTTCAATCGAAAGGATAACCTTAGTAATCATGAAAGAGTTCACACAGGGGAGAAACCCTTTGTATGCAACAAATGTGGGAAAGCATTCATCAGTGCTTCACAATGTCATAATCATGACAGAGTTCACACTGTCGAGAAACCTTTTGTATGTAAAGAGTGTGGGAAATCTTTCAACCGAAAGGATAACCTTATAAATCATGAAAGAATTCACACTGGGGAGAAACCCTATGTATGCAACAAATGTGGAAAAGCATTCATCAGTGCGTCACAATGTCAGAAACATGATAGAATTCACACTAGGGTAAAACCACTTGTATGTAATCAATGTGGAAAATTTTTCAAGCAAAAGCGTTATCTTATTATGCATGAAATACTTCATACTGCAGAGAAACCCTATGTATGCAACAAATGTGGGAAAGCATTCATCAGTGCATCACAATATCAAATACATGATAGAATTCATACTGGCGAGAGACCATTTTTATGTAAGCAGTGTGGAAAATCTTTCATGCAAAAGCGTCATCTTATTATACATGGTAGGATTCACACTGAGGAGAAACCATTTTTATGTAAGCAATGTGGAAAATCTTTCAAGCAAAAGCATTATCTTATTATACATGAAAGACTTCATACTGCAGAGAAACCCTATGTATGCAACAAATGTGGGAAAGCATTCATCAGTGCATCAAAATGTCAAATACATGGTAGAATTCACACAGGGGAGAGACCATTTTTATGTAAGCAATGTGGAAAATCTTTCACGCAAAAGCGTTATCTTATTACACATGATAGAATTCACACTGAGGAGAAACCATTTTTATGTAAACAATGTGGAAAATCTTTCAAGCAAAAGCATTATCTTATTATACATGAGAGACTTCATACTGGGGAGAAACCCTATGTATGCAACAGATGTGGGAAAGCATTCAGTTCAGCCTCTAGCCTTAAAGCACATGATAGAATTCACACTGGGGAGAAACCATATGTATGTAAACAATGTGGGAAATCTTTCAGTCATAATTCCACCCTTATTATACATGAAAGAATTCACACTGGGGAGAAACCCTTTGTATGCAACAAATGTGGGAAATCTTTCAACCAAAAGGATAACCTTATTAAACATGAGAGAATTCACACAGGGGAGAAACCCTATGTATGCAACACATGTGGGAAAGCATTTGTCAGTGCAAAACGATGTAAAGCACATTGTAGAATTCACACTGGGGAGAAACCCTTTGTATGTAATCAATGTGGGAAATCTTTCAAGCAAAAGCGTTCTCTTATTATGCATGAAAGCCTTCCTGCTGGGGTGAAACCCTATGTATGCAACAAATGTGGGAAAGCATTCAGGACAGCGTCTAGCTGTAAAAAACATGAAAGAACTCACTGGGGAGACACCATATGTATGTAAACAATGTGGGAAGTCAAAAAGGTAAGCTTATTATACATGAATGAATTCATATTAGGGAGAAAGCCTTTGTAAGCAATATTTAAAATGTTTCAGTCAAAATGTTATCCTTATTAATGATGAAAGATCTCACATTGGGTAGGACCTCTGTGGATACAACCAATATGGCAAAGCATTCAGTATGCAGAGGTGCTAAAAGAAGCCCTTTCTATGTAAGCAATTTGGGATGTCTTTCTGCTATAGTTGTAGCTTTTGTGTATATAAAAGAGTTCACTCTGTAGAAAAACCCTACCTATATGAGAAATGAGTAAGTGGATTTGTTAATAAATTTGCAGGTCATAAACATAAAAGATCCCACACTGGGGAAAACCTATGAACATAAGGAGTATAGGAAAACTTTCCACAACTGGTGAGATTGTCACTATATGACAGAACTCCGTGTAGTAATTCTATGAATTTCAACAATGGTTGACAGCATTTAGTGCACAAAAATGCCATCGAATAGTGGAATAATGTACACAAGGAAAAACCCTATGTATGTAGGCAGTGTGGAAAAGATATGCTGCAGTTTTTCCCTTTTCCAAACATAAGATTCCTTCACACCAGGGCATAACTACATGTAAGAAATATTTGAAAATTTGAGATGATACAGGTGGTAACCTAAGTGATGTCATATTGTGGCTTGAGCCTATGTATGCAATGTGCGAAAGTATTCAGTATACATGGTTATTGTAAGTCCTGTGAAAATAATCATAATAAAATGAAATCATATGTACAATAGTAACTTTTGAAAATAATTCATAAATTGGTCATGGAGAGATCTCTATAAATAATATAAAATTATTGCTATAAACATATTCATAGATTTTTTTTGAAAACACCCTCAACACAGTTACCCAAAAATGTTTTCTTTTTTATAAATCACAAACATTTGATCTATTTTTTGTAGTCTTTAAAAATACAGTGTTTAAAGGAAATTTAAGTATGCAGAAGTTTTTCCCCATGTTTTTTATCCACCAATGTCTTGTCTTGTTGGATGATACCAAGTTACCTCATGACCATTTTTTCCCACCATAATCTGTAAGTCTTGTATCAGTTTACCCAGAAGGATGTATACATTCATATTAAAAAATCTGCTTGTATTCATGGCCTGATCTATGCAGCCATGCTTATGGTAAGGTATACCATCACAAAAGCCAAAGCAGACTCAGTCACTGTTAGAAATAAGAATGAACTTAAATTAGGGAAAAATCTTACATATGCAACAAATGTGCAAAATGTTCAGTACACAAACAGGTTCTGAAATACATGCTAGAACTCTCAATAGGGAGAAACTATGAAGATAAACAATGTGCAAAATCTCTCAGTAAGTATTGTAACCTTGTCCATAAAATATTCCACACTTGGGCAAAACCTTATGTAAGACATATTAAGAAGGCTTTGCTGATAATCCCCCTTTTGTAGAAATGGAAGATCCCACACAGAGAGAAACCTTATGTATATAAGCAATGTGGAAATCTAGCAGCCAAACCCATAGCTTGCAAATGCATCAAGAAATTCACAATGGGAAAAAACTCTGTAGACAAGCAATTTAGGAAAACATTCAGTTCACATAGTCACTGACAAACATGAAAGAACCCACAATAGGGAAAATCTGTGTGCATGTAAGCAATGCAGCAAATGCTTCCACCACTAGTGATTGTAATGACATGAAAGAATTCACACAAGGAAGTAACCGTATGCATTCCAACAATGGAGAAAAGTAGTGCAAAATAATGCCATCAATTAAATAATGCACAAAGGGAGAAACCCCCATGTAAGTAGTCAACGTGAGGAGTTCTTGCAAATTTTTCACTTTATGAATGCTAAATTTCCCACCCACTGAGGAATAACTGTGTGAAAAAGATGTATTGAGAAAAAGTTTCCACTGACAGAAATGCTAACCTCCAATACGATGTCACATTGTGGCCAAAGCCTATGTGTACCATATGAGAAAGCACTCAGTGTATTTGAGTATGGCCAAAAACATGAAAGCACTATGAAAAGAAATTGTACATATTTAAGTGACTATTTTGAAAATACTTTGCAGATTTTTCATGTAGTCAAGACCTGTAGAAATACCATAAACTTGATGTCAATATATATTGATAAATTTTCCAGCAACCACACTTGAAGATGAAGATATCCCAAAGCATATTCATTTTGTGTTATTGTGTCACACATAACTAGCTAGCCTATTTATCCAGTCTTACTATTAGAAAAATCACACTTTTTAAAGATAATTCACGGATTCTAAAGAATTTTCCCCACATTTTGGATTCACTGATATCGTCCTGATAGATTACACCTATTTTTCTCACAAACATCCTTTTTCACTTCCATCTGTCTCAAATAATTTTTTCAAGAAGAATCTGCATAAAGACATTCAGAAGTATCCTTCACCAGGTTGTATGACATGTATTCATGTATGTATACTTATGATAACCACAAAAGCAAAAGCAAATTTAAAATACATATAATTGCATTCATGCCTGTTTCTAGTATATAATTTATTCATCTTTGGAAGGCATCAGTGTGTATAAAAGGTTTGAGTTCTTTATTGTTGCCTTAACATCCTCTATTTACATCTTTGCTCTATTTCTTGCTCTGCTCCATTTTTGAAAGAGGTATGCTCATACTGCCTATTACACATCATGTAGTTTTATACAAATTTAGACTCCATCCCTCTATTAAGTCAGTCATTTATAAATAGCAGAATCCTGAATATGCAAGTGAATTAGGATTTCACACAGTTCCTAGGATTCAAAATAAAACGCATGCAATATGATTCCCAGAATAGGAATGGTGAGTGATGGAAATAACATCATATCATAACACCAGAAAGAGTAACCATTGTGCCATAAAGAAGGTTATAATCACAAGTATGCAAATTAAATGTATGAGAATTATAGAATTAGATTTTTTTTTCTGTTAAACAGTCTTGTTATGAAGTTCAGGCTCATCTTGGGCTCACTTTTGAATCTAGACTGGTCTTGGACTCACTTTGTAGTCTAGGCTGATCTTTCACTTTGTAGTTCAGGCTGATCTTGAACTTGCCGCAATCCTCCTGCCTTAGCTTTCCAAGTCCTGGGGTTACAGGCATGCACCACCATGCCTAGGTTGTAGCATTAGATTTACCTAGCAAAAAATTCCGTGGAGGGATGATAATATACCACTTTTGCCCCTCACTGGTCATCTTTGGGGCATGGCACTGCTAAACTCTCATAGTCTCCCTTTAGGCACATGTTCCACAGTGGTGTCCTATCAGCATTTTAAGATATTAAAATAAATCTCAGAAATGAAGGTGACAAAATCTGACTCATGTTCCATTTTCAGTAGCACAAACAAATCTAATGTTACTTGAATCAATCATGGATCTCAGTTTCCTTCATCAGAGTATTGTCATGTGATGTCACAACCTGACAAGAAGGTTAAGTGCAAGGCAGGATGAGATATGAAGAGACAACACATTCACAGGATGCTGATTACACCGTGGTTATTATTCCAGTTTCTATAGTGTCATTGTAATTTTTATTCATATACTGTTTTCAATTTATTCCAAAAGCATGTGTGTGTGTGTGTATATATATATATATATATATATATATATATATATATATATATGATGTTATTTGTATAACTTTACATGTTAGTAATAACATGGAAATATATTTTGGAAATTGGAAATATACTTTGAGGAAATATTGGAAATATAGTTTGAGGAAATATTGGAAATATACTTTGAGGCAGTTAGCATTTTTCCACACTTGAACCTGAGGTTAAATATTGCTGACAAATTACTACAATGTAGTTTCTACTTTTATTCCATTATTTTAGTCTTTTATCATGTTTTAAATAAAATGGTTCAGACATAGATAAAGTGGTCATTTCATATGATTTAAGCAATCGGGAATCTGAGGCAAGAGGATTTTAAATTTGCAATTTAATCTCAGGCTTGGCAAGTTGGAAACACAGTGAAACCTGTCTGCAAATAAAAAATAGTGCTGGGGAGATTGATCGATATAAATGTCCTGGATTCCAGTATCAGCCCTAAAAAGTTAAAATAGACCTTGTTTCCTGGTAAAACAGTAAAACCACTGGCCTCATTTCACACTCTGACAGACCTGGCCTTTTCTCACCATCCCCCCTCAGAGTTTAGGAGTGATTTCCAAACTACATAGTCTCCAATCACCAGAGTACAGTTCCCATCCTACCTACTGCATTTACGAGTTAACTTTCAAACAAACAACAAAAAAAATACAGTTATTCAATCCCTGCTAAAAACAAGAGCAACCTCATTTTAAGTGCAGTAATGTCCTTGTGGACCATTTCAGTAGCTCATATGTAATCCAAGAATGGCACCCATCACTTTGCTAATCAGTACACATTTTGGATCACTTTCCCTGTCCCTTCCACCTCAAATATTTGGTCTTTCCTCAACAGCTGGTGCAGGAAGGTTCTGTGCATTATGAACTGGAAAGAAGTACAGGCAGAGCGGGACAATTCATATTTTTGTCACTATGTTTTGGGCCCAGGGTCACCTGCTGATGAAGGGCCTTAGAATTTGTACCTGGCTGCTGGATGACTTTCTCAGAGAACAAGAATCAAATACACAAGGAAACCATCTAGAGGCTACAAATGTTAAGTGTGGGGCCAGGTGTTCTGAGCTGGATACAGTTGGACTAGATGTTATCTGATGAAGTTGGAATCTCCCCATGAAATCTGTGAATCTGACCTCTCCAGTGGCTTCAACCTGATCCCTTCAGGTCTGTGCCATGAGGCTTGGCTGGTAGTGGTTTGTCAGTGCCCTCTCCTTTTCCTACTTCAACTTCAGCCTTTTGCAGAGTGGCACCCATTCAGCAAATTCTCCTGCATCTCTGTGTCTTGACATTCTTTATGGTGACTTCATTAGTACATATGGAGTCTACAGGTTAATCTGCAGTCTCTACATAAAAAAGTATTTTTTCCCTCATCCCCAGTCCCTCTACATATATTTCTTTGCCCTTTGTAATTTGTCACCTTAGAAGAGTGTATTCATCTAAGATGCCCAATTTTGGGTTCAGTTATTAAATCTGGAGACTCTGGTTCTCTCCAAATTTACATATGCTCCAGATATTAGTCCTTGGTCTGAGAATAAAGATTCAAAAGAGTTATCCCGGGAAGGCTAGGTGACCTGGGTTGAAGGTCCCCAAACCATCCCCTGACCCCCGGGATTTTAAGATCCCCAGCCAGGTAACTTCACAGCTTCCTGCTGCACTGGATCACCTCAGCAGGTCTTGAGCATGGAGTGAAGTATTTCAGATCCTAAAGGAAAATGATTTCCAACCTAGACTGATATATCCTGCAAAACTGTCCTTTAAAAATGATTGAGAAATGTACTTCCATGATGAAGAATAGTTGAAGAACTTTATGATCACCAAGCCAACCCTGGAAAGAACACTGAAAGACAGATTGGATACACTTAGGAAAAAATCACTAAGCAAAGCAGACAATTAAACAGAATGGAAAGATAAAGATGCAACAGCAGAAACATAACATGTCAACAATAAACCAACATATAACAATTAAAGCCATTTATTAAATGTTCTCAATCCATCAATTAAGAGAAACCGACTAGCAGAATGTATAAAGAAAAAACATCCAACCATATGCTGTGTACAAAAACCCATTTAAGCCAAAAGTATACCTACAGACTGAAAGTCAAAGGATGGAAAACAATACCTCATGCAACAGGAACCCAAAAAA